CTGACTTGGAACCATTGGTGTAATGCAGAAAACAGTTATTGTATTCTAAAACCTACCCAAGAAATCTTTTACCCACTTACGATATAATTCTTTTCTATTCCATCAATAGATGTTATTTTACTTTTTTATACGTATTTTTATTTTAGTAATTTATAAACTATTTTCTTTATATACTTCATTACCTTTTAGTGTAATGAAGAGAATGAATTACAGAAGGTTTTTAAATTATATTGCGAACAATATTTTTCCTCGCAATAAATAAACAATGACGATGATCTTGTTTACAATATGGAGCTTGATGTCTTACTCCATGTTCGTTTATTACATTTTCTGCCATACCCGACTGTCCTTTTCTTTCTTGTGGTGAAGGTTTTTGACAATTGATATATATATATATATATATATATATATATATATATATATATATATATATATATATATATATATATATATATATATATCTTGATAAAATCACACGGGAAAATGGAAACAACGGAGCTAAAGGTTGTATACATAGTGTTTTAAATAAGAAATTTGCTTCAAACATTCCAAAAAGATTTGAAACAGCCTTGATAAACTTGAAAAGAAATAAGAATATCCATATTACCAAGGCTGATAAGTCTAATGCTATTGTTATCTTGGATAAAAGTGACTACAATGATAAGATGAATTCATTACTTAGTGATGAAAGCACGTATTGTGAGCTTACGAAAGATCCCCTGGAAAATATTAATAAGTTATCTAATTCCAAAATGAAGATGTTATTGAAAAAGAACCCCGATCTCACTAAACAGCTCTCTCAAATCAATCCCACTTTACCTTATATGTATGGATTGATCAAAACACACAAGCTTAATAATCCATTACGTCCTATCGTGAGTTCTGTGGGTTCTGTTACTTACAAATTATCCAAGTGGCTGGTAAAGATGATATCCCCTCTTACAGGCCAAATATCTAATTCACATATACGCAATAGCAGTGATTTAATTGATAAACTCAAGAAACACAACGAACCTTGCGAATTAATAAGTTTTGATGTAAATTCACTGTTCACTAGAGTACCTGTGAAAGACTTACTTTCATTTCTTAAAGATAAATTACAACTGCTAGATTTAACTATTGAACATGATACTTTCCTGAAATTGATAGAGTTATGCGTAACTGACAATGTGTTTAGTGCAAATGGGAAGTTCTACAAGCAAGTATTTGGCATGAGCATGGGTAATTGTCTTTCTGCTCCTCTAGCCTGTATTTATATGGAGTTCTTTGAGTCTAGATTACTCCCCAATGTAGTGGACTGTATTCCTCCTTGGTATAGATATGTAGATGATGTTCTTTGTCTTTGGCCTAAAAACAGTGACCCTTTGGAATTTTTAGACAAGCTTAATAATATTGTCCCTAGTATCACATTCAAAATTGAAAGAGAAATAAGTGAATCCCTTCCATTTCTTGATATGCTTATCATGAGAAATGGCCAAAACTATAAATTTAAGGTATATAGAAAGCCCACACAGGTAGACAGTTTCATTCACTTTTTATCCAATCACCTTGAGTCTACCAAAATGTCAGTTTTTTCTGCTATGTTCCTACGATGTCTGCGTATTTGTGACTCTGAATTTATTGACGACGAATTTAAACACATTCGTTCTATTGCACAGAAACTTGGGTACCCTTCTGTGTTTGTTGATCGTTGCTTTAAAAGGGCTAAAAAATCCTTTCATTCCTCTGTAACCAGACAAGTTCCTACACTTAAGAATATTTTGACTCTGCCCTATCGTGATGAATTTGTCCCTTTAGTTCGGTCCCTCAAGCTTCTAAATATTAATGTTGTTTTCAAGTATGACTCAACCATTACCAATATGTTAATAAGGAATAGCCTAAGTTTGAATGTAAATGGAAGTGTTTATTGTATTCCATGTAGCCAATGTAATTGTAATTATGTAGGTCAGACAGGAAAAACACTGCAGCTCAGAATCAAACAACATAAGTATAATATCAGAACTGCATCTGAAAGCAGTGCCTTGTTCGTTCATGTTAGGAATAATAATCACCCCATTGCTTGGGAAAAAAGCTTAGAAGTATTCAAATCATCTTGTGTCACAGAAAGACTTCTGGTTGAAGCTAGTTTGATTAAGGAATTAAATCAATAAACCTTAGTGATGGTCAGTTCAAAACTGATAATATGTTACATAAATTTATTTGTCAGTGGCCCAAGGTTAAAACTGCTTTGAAAACCTTTGATCTTGATGTATGACAGTTATTTTGTGGGTCCCTTTTTTCTGA